GCACTGGCTGTTGCATAACCACGGTGTGTTATTACACACATTACGTGATTTCGTAATTTGCAGTTCGCACCAATAATCAAAATATAATATGTTATCGAATGCGAAAGCTAAAAAGTTTCTAGTTTAATTGTACTAAAATGTGTTATGTATACAGAGTTTTGATAAACTTTTTAAGATCTACTTATTTATAAGTTTATCATATAAAAAATACTGCCAAAATACATTTTAGATGTCTGTCTGTTTTCTTGTCAATTTAGTCGTAAAAAAGGCATTGAAAAACAGCCCTTATTCTTTCCTTTAACTTTATCAAAGTAAGATTATAAAAGAATGTAAATGGTCAATTGACGAATTAAACATCTGTATACTTATCGTTAAAACCCAGTATCTGGTTGTTCCGTTAAGGGATGTAACAAATACGTTTAGTTTAATAGATATATCTAAGAATGTTCTCGGTTCTTATCACCGTAAATCAGGTCTTCTACTTCTCCTTTGTGTAAGGTCTCTACTTTAATCTTGAATGTTTTGATTTCATATTATTATAAAAAGAAAATTAAGAAAAAAGAAAAGTGGACCACCACCAACCACCACCAACAGCCTATAACAGTCCACTGCTGGACATAGGCCTCTCCTTAGAAAGGAGGTTTTGGCCTACTATACCACGCTGGCCAAACGGGTTGGTATAGGGTTTGTTTCAAGTTTTCCTTCTCTTAGCAGTGCTGTCGTCCTGCGTAGTTTGCTCCCTTAGTCGGCTCTTACGACACCCACGGGATGAATAGGGGTGGTGACATTCCGTATTCTCAATCCGTCACCACACGGACAAGAAAAAAGAAAAGTGGATCAGCGTGATTAAAACATTTGTTGATAATCAGACTAGGCGTATTGATAATATTTACAACCGAAACATAATTTTAATTTTCAATATTAGATTATACAAATATATACACAGACAAATAATACAACATTCTTTTCAGTTTACTTCACTCATTTAATACGCTTCTGAAATAAAGACGTGAGTGTATGTTGTTGTTCGTTTTTAACTCTATCACAGAGGATTGCTCTATAATTATTTTTTTTGTGCATGTTTACTTAAGACTTTTTAAAAACTTAAAGCGATAGTATGAACAAAAGTTGAGAGTAATTTTATATTGTAAAAATATTAAATACGAAATTCGTAACTAACGCATTGCCAATAACGTGAACATAGATTAGGGTACGCGTGGAGCTTGCAAGGTGTTCCATCAGTCCACATAATTGGCCTGTTCCGATTGTGCCTCCCCGTCCCGCGCACCGTCTACGGTGGGTACGTCATCACTGTCGACCGCATTGTTTATAAGCCTGCCTGATCGAAGTGTAGTTGTTTAAAATATGACTAGTTTTAGTTACAAATTTACTACAATAGAAATAACTTTACTAGTTCAGCAGCTAGGGTAGTTTTTAATCTGTACTGTGTAGTTTATGACCTTTGGACACTAATTTTAATGTAGTCAAACTACTAATAACTAACTAACTACTACTACTACTACCTTTAACTACTAGCTTTAATGTAATATAAAAAATAGAATACATCTAATTTAATATATTGTGCTCGCATTGGAAACATCCATGTGGTGGCGGATTAAGATCCCTATTCATATCGTGGTTGTCGTAAAAGCCGACTAAGGGAGCAAACTACGCAGGACCTGTTGTCCTGCAAAGAGAAGCAAAACTTGACACAAACCCTATAACAACCCGTCTGGCCAGCGTGGTATAGTAGGCCAAAACCTCCTTTCTAAGGAGAGGCCTATGTCCAGCAGTGGACTATTATAGGCTGTTGATGTGATGATGACGATGAATAAAATTTTCAGGTTTATTTAAGAATCACGAAGCATTATGTATGTATTTTTTATTTAGGTAGTAATTTGTAATGTGAAAGTGTACAAATGTACAAATATTTTATAAAGGAATTCTACCTTGTAAAAATTTTCTACTCTAGATTTTTCATTTATATCTTTAAATCACACAAATTTCAATAAATACAATCTTGAATAATCGAATGCTTCAACCGGACTATTACAAAGAAATCTATGACAGGAAATTTATGATTACGGATGAAATATACTTAAATCGTTTTACTTAGTAACACTTTTGTACCGTTCAACAACTTATTCAGAAATCAGTATTTTAACGATTAGTTATTGATGTACCGATGAAACCGTTATAACTGTTATTGTGATGTAATATCATTTTTAAATCTCGTTTTTTGCATCATTGCAGAATGTTTATTTATAATAAAATACATTCTACAGTTGTGCAAAATTCGAGATTAGATTTTGACTCTTTGAATTAAACGTCTTGTCTTGTGGTGGTGGAGTGTGTATACATAGTAGGAATAATTAATAAATTATATTTTATTCAGAAATAAACAGTTTTTTTGTTTTAGTTGTCAGTTGATAGATTCATAAAAAAACCTAGAATGAACTAGTTAATATAATAATATTTTTCCCAGTATTCCAAACTATGTTAATTCTGAAACAAGCATTAGAGTTGACATGAGCTGTCGGCACCGGCTAATAACGTGCGTAATGGCGGCTCGTCATTAGGCGGCGCGCGCGCAGATTGCCGCGCAGCTCTGATGAAACCCGCTGGGATTGCCTTGTAAACTCTCTGAAGCTTACATGCTTATACGATGTATAGACAGGACGTATGGCTTACAAGATAATATAGTTCAAAGTGAATTGTGATTAAGCTTAAGAATATACAAAATATGTCTCCATAATACAAAAAACAAAACAAAAATGTTTACTGCTACTACAAAAAGTTTAAAGTTAAACTATACATTATTTTGATTTCAATAATGTTAAGTGTTCTTCAACTGCAAGTTCTTTATTTGGTACCTTTTAAATACGATTTACTATTGTTGTATCAAAATATAACTATGCATTTAAACTTCCCTGGAACTTCAACAATTCTGGCATTATTAGTGTATGTTAGTTACATTGTTAAACTGAAATCATGAACTTAGAGACAATATGTGTATAACCCATCTATATATATAAGTATAATAGTGTACCCTCGCAACCGCATCTATTGACTATTTTTATTTAATTACTTAAAAAATATTTGCAAAAACATGAATTTTATATAATGTGGTTTGCACAAATTCCTACGTAATTTGCTTAATAGCTGAACAAGTTCATCGAATCAATTTATTGTACAACTTCGGGAGCAATTAGTAGTTAATTCCACAAATCGTATCGCGTAACAAAAGGATAAATAGCTAGAAGAAAAGGCCTTACGTTTTTTGGCGCCGGGTCTATTAGATACGGTGGTCCATGAAGCTTGTCGGCAAATAAGGCGGCAGTCAGTTAGAGGTTCGTGATTCTGAGTGCTGCCGTAATGAGCACGGATATTAATAAATTTAACGCAGACTCCAGGACACTTTACAGTTATTTAGGGCATAATTACGTCAAGAAAATTAGCTATCTGTCTGCCTGTTGTTTAGATTATATACAGGCGAATTGAAATCTAAGGTGCTTATTACATTTTAGGTTTAAAATGGGAAAGTTTCATATTATGTTATGTTACTTGTAAAAAGGACGATTAGGGGAGTTCATTTGAACTTTAAATAACTCGGAATACTGCTATTATTTAATTATATATGGTGAAACAATAACATTTTGTAAAATTTTTGTAAGTTATTACAATTATCGACATTTATTAGGATTACATAACATACATACATTGCACTGCAAAAAAAAGGAAAACTGGAAACAAACTCTGTACCAACCTGTCTGGCCAGCGTGATATGGTACGCCAAAACCTCCTTTCTAAGAAGAGGCCTATGTCCAGCAGATGACTATTAAAGGCTGGTGATGATGATTATGACTTTTCAAAAACCAAAGAATTATGTAGTTCCATTAATTACTCGTAGTATGTGGGAATACAGCATGTTGGCATTAGCTGAAGCCATATCGAGATTGTTTCTCGTAAGTTTATAGATAATTTACAGATGACAGACAAATGCTTCATGTAGGCGGTTTCTGGTGCTCTGGGCACTGTGTGGCCGTTTATAACTGTAGAGATGTATACGGACATGCCAATCCTATTAAAAAGTTTGTATTGGTATATATTTATATGTTATCGGATTCTAAACTAATGTAAATCATAAGTACATTAAATATTTATATTAGTTGAATTGCCCTTAGAAGGAACCAAAGTCTTGAACAATGGTACTATATTTCGCAAAAGACGCTTTGTTAAGCAACATTTTATGTGTGTACGTTAGTATTATCACAGCTCATAAACGAATGGTACGATTTGAATTATTTTTTATTTATTTGAAGAGTAACTTGATTGACCGTGTTCTTAGCATGTTTAAGAAAAACTATTCAACAGTTCGGAGATGATAATCAGTATTACTAATCGTGGACCTGATTTTCGATTTGGAAAACATGTCTGGAAATAATGGCAAATGAATACAAAAAGTATTACTTTTAGCATGGGGTTTTTGCACTTTTCCTTACGATCATTGATAACATTACATGGAAACAAGTAGACCCTTGCAAAAACGGTAAAATCGATCACAATTATTGTATCTATAGGTCATTTATGTCGGTAATGGTAATTGCACTTCAATGGCGAAGGGTTAATATAACTAGAAGCTCAACCCTCAAAATTTAGGCGTCCTTATTTCAAACAAATATAAAAGTATACTGTAAATGTAACATACATACTTTCGAATTGAAATACATACAGTTTATGTTAAGAAATTATTTATACAAATATTTTTTTCCACTTTTAACACGACACTTTGTAACCCGCCACCTTCAGAACTGTAATTACCTAATAAATCAGAAAGGAAAGGTTTTGTACTGAACTTTCCCCCAGTTCCCCCTTTTTATATTCCCCCTTTCTTATATCCCCCTTTTTATAGCCGATGCTCAATGACCCGAACGATTTGTGGTGCTGCTCTCGTCCAAGAAACCAAGATTATTCAAAGAAGTGAAGTTGTAGGTACATACCTCCAGTGGCAAGATTTGCGTTAGTCTTGTACTCTCGCTCCTCGTGTGACAGCGACCTCATACTCCGCACAGGCGAACTTTTGTACTCGATATCGCGAAGAGTCAAGGATGCACTGTCACATAATAGTGACCGCTGAAGGCCGAACCTACTTATTTGGTGCGGTGAAACATTTGTACCTGTGGAAGAAGATCCATACTTATATAAATGAGAAAGTAGGTTTGTTTGTTTGTTACGCTTTCACGTTTAAACCACTAAACCGATTTTAAAAATTCCCAACTCACGCTGGCAGAGCACACAAGCTAGTAAGATATAAAGTAACTACTTTTGTTTATTAAGTTATTTGTTTGGCTTAAGAAAATAATTTCAACCGATAACGAAAATGAGATTTTAAGTTCGAAATATTAAATTGATGGCTCCAAGTAAGTAGGAAATGAAGACGGAATAAGAATAAAACTATAAAAATAAATTATATACTATAAAAATAAATAAATGAATTTTGTATAAATAATGTTTATGTAAATGGGATTTTGGGAGGCAAACTACTAACCGTTGCGAAGCTTAGTCTACTTAAACGTATAAGACGTTAGGAATGAAAACTACTTATTTGTTTTAAAACATTCTTTAACAAGTTTCTGCGCGTACAGCTCACCCTTTTCAGTTTCGGCGTGGTCATCGAGTCATATCCTCGAGAAGGCGGAACTATTAGCATATTACTTTAAGAATCCTATAATTGCTTTCTTATTCTGTGTGATAACTGTGCTTAAACCTTTATATCTCTTAAACACTAAGGGTAGAGGGAGAGAGAATAAAGGAGACGTCTGTGATTTAAAAGTGTTTAAAGTCAAATTCAAAGTGTTTACAATCACAATTGTAAGAAATAATAAAAACAACAATTTCATTTCATTTTCGAACCAAACAAAAAAGTTGGTTTCCGCTATTTAATCATCAATTAAAGTGCAATGTGTCAATCACCTTGTTACCTAAATAGGTGGTCGTTTTTAATCTATGGGTCCCAAAATTGGCGGACCTTCTGTCGGTTCGGACCTTTATGTGAAAATTTACCGCCCCAATTATTGTTTGGGATCTTGTTGTGTTTGAAAATAAAAAAAAACAGATTATTAGTTTATGAGTAGATACCTACACAATGGAGCTATTTTCATACAAATAAAATACACTCTGTTAGAATAATTATTTATTTTTACATTCATAAAGCAAAGGAATGGGAATACCATATCGATATTTTTGTTTAAACAATATTTTAGAATGGTTTCGGAATATAGTAAGAGATGTATATGAAGTCGATTTATTTTTAACATTAATTCTTAATGATAACAAGGTTTTAAATGTTTTATACGTTTAATCTTAAAATGCTGTAACTTAAACAACTAACGTTGTATCTATTAATAAACTAAAAAATATATAAAAGTTTCGCACAGCGTAAACTAAATACTTATACCTACGTAGGTATCACAGGCACGACCAAATCGCATTTTATCGATATTCGATAGTTCATGTAATGTTGAGCACAACGCAATTAGCGAGGGTCAACTGCGAAGCGGCTTACGCCAGCCCACCTACAAATTAAGTCTATTAACTCAAACTTTTAAGTCCCCTAGCACGAGATATCTTCCTTTCTTGTTTCGCTGAGTTTTGAGGCTTATTCGTTAAGTACTGGCCTTTTGTATTCTACTCTTTGCTTTGTTTGATATATTCTCTCCTGTAAATGGGATTTTAGAAAGTTGATAAAGATCTGTTTCTAATGAATTAAGGAATATGTTGTAGTGAATATATTTCTAACTACATATTTTCAAACGTATTTGAATAGTATCTACGTTAAGTGGGAGACATAGCTAAGCAGTGCAATGTACCAAGTGTTGAAGGTTCAAAAAATATTTTAAAATGCAAATTATACAGTACATAATTTCGTACCAATACAGTGGGGATAGTTTATTACTTTTTAGGATTGGCAATGCTCAAGGTATTTTTAGCGCTATAAGATTTACTCAACCTGACGGACTACATTTATTTTTGGTAGTTTTTGGAAACTTGTTGACGTTTGACATTACCTATTTGATTTTTGCTTAAACACTTTCTTGCATCTCGTTTTTTCTACTTGGTTTCATTAATTGTATTTCTCAGAGTTGTAAACGAATTAAGTGAACAAATATTAAAAATCGCATTCCGTTTATCTGTTCTCACATCAATCAACATCATCCTTAGTTTTAGCCTGTCACCGAAAGGTCCGGTAAAATAATACTCCGTGGAGGTTGGAGTGAAAAACAAAATCACGAAGACACACCGAGCTACGAAGTAACTGCTAATCCTGTATCGCAATATGAACTTCCCAACATTAATCGTTGGGTTGCGGCCCACCAGACATGATCACCTCGTCTGGTCAGAGGGTCCTCGCTTTGTGTAGTGTGTGGTAGGCACATAACACCTGTTCCTCCACAATTTATTTAAGTTGATGATTTAAGTGACCGTTAAGTGAATGATTTAATATTTTCACAGTACAAAATATTCAAACATGTCCTTGAGCAGGTTGACTGCCATAAAGCGTCATGCCGGCTGCAGGCACAAAGGTCCACACAGTTGCACAGTGCGTGAGTGCAACTTATTACTGATATAATTTCACTATTGTTTGCCGCCGGCTTCACTCCATATGGCGTAACGTGTTTTTTTAACCAACCAATTTCGTCAATATAGCCGACGCTTCGGAATTTCGAACTTCTTTCAAGACATAAACTAAGGAAGTTTTGCGTGACTGACAGCCGGAAGACGATTATTTATAATATTAATTAGTAAATTTATTGAGGGGCTGATATAATATGAGGGTATTAAATGAAAGTTTAATGTCATGTTCGTGAAATAAAGAAGTACGTATGGTTACAATTACATAATGTTCCATAGTTTTCTGTTCAAGCTAATAAAAGATGTTTACATATTAAGCAATTTTTCTAACATATCAGTTGTATGGAAATCACTACATATATTGGTATTAATACTTATTGTACTTTGTTAACTGCCTTACTGGATCCGCGACATACGTTCGTGATTATATTTGCGTGATTGCTTTCAATGCCAATGTTTTGGCAATTGCTGTTGGCTTTTTCTGTCGAATTTTATAATAGGATTACAAAATGTAGTCGATACAAATATACTTATAAAATCTTTGTTAATCTATCTATTAAGGATTGTTTTTGTCAATACCAAATTTTGTGAATAGTTACTCTATATCTAGTATTAAAATTTTTCTTCAGTAAGGTACACTTCACTCTGTGTCAGTCTCACACACTTTACAAAGCCGCGTTCGCTCCGACGACGCGACGACAAATGTCGAACAGAGCTTTTTATTTGAAATCCCTTAACAAAAGCAAACTTACTATTAATAAAAAAAAGTAAAACCACGACCTTCACAACATTCATCCTACTAAACAATGGAGTAGGTAAAGATAAAACATACGATCGCCGTGTTATCACCGCGAGTCTCGTGGGAAGAAATTAGTTATCTACCAATTGTCATATCTCGGTTGACCGCTGGGTCGAACATATGAAAATTACACGATAATAATAGAAACAATTCATATAAATTACAGATATTAATTGTTTATGTCCCTGATGCGGTTTTTGTTCCACTACTTCCAAATAACAAATTGGACTCACGACATGCAGATCGCATTATGTTTTCATATTAGTTTTTTAATTAATTGGTAACTGAATTTTGTATTTCGTTGTATAAATATTGTTCGTAATTAATGTGTCAACAGTACTATGGTTCGGTACCGAAAATGTGAATGACGGTTCATTCAAATTATTGTGCACAATTGTATAGTTTTTGACTAACAGAGTTTTTTCTCTAAAGTACCTTTAGAAGCATAACTATCATACAATGTTAAATAGCCTTTTTTTATCTACGCACATAAGCGATGTCACTGACTCCCGCAATTTTTTTTACTGCATTTCTTAATTTTTGGGTAAAATTCTTAAATCGTAGCCTGCAGCCTCTTAAAAAAATACTTTTATGGAAATTAAGAAATCTTTTAATAAAACTTTGCCATTACTTTCTACCAATTTTTTATTTTATTAATGAGTCAATGGCACTGATTGCAATCTGAACGTAATAAATAACAAGGTGAGAATGTAAGAAATTAAGAAATGTGAAACCTAAAGAGCAATAATTATTATTGAAATTAACATTATTTTACAGTCATAAAATAATTTGTAATAAAAAAAGCTGTACCTATTGCATGCTCAAATTTTATAACCCAAATTTTTTCAGTTTTGTGTCATAGGTGTGAACGACAAAATTTGGTTCTGCTTTGTGCTTACATCAAGTGAAAAAACTAATAACAATGTGCTCGACCCTTGCATAGAATTCGAGGCTTAATTTTAACTGGATTTATAAATGATGGTGTAATGGGAGAGGCCTATGTCGAGCAGTGGACTGCGATAGGCTGATGATGATGATGATGACCATTAATGATGTACACAAAACAACAGAATACGATACTTTACTTATACGTACAATCTAAAGTAGCTTAACATCTGGCTTTATCCAACAGTTTCCAATCTATTACACACTTGAATCAGTATACTTTCCACGACAATTAGTTGATAATTAAAAATGGAATTCTTTTTAAATCTTTTTTTTTCTTTATTTTAAAAAGACAACTCCCGCATTAGGAATATATCCTGTGTCGCGGGGGACTTTACAAACATACATGAAACGGACACAAAGAACACCCAGACTCAGAACAACAATTTGTGAATCACACAAAGTGTCGTCCCATGTGGGGTTTGAACCCACAACACTCGGCGCAGTAGAAAACGGCGTGGCGACCGCTTAAACCACTACGCCATCCGTGCAGTCAAATCAAGAGATTCCTAACAGTTACCCTGTGTTGCTAATAATTAGAAATAAAAAGGCGTAGTAATCTTTTTTGATAGGACTGATGGTTTTCAAATAATAACTGTATGTAAATCACTATAGCTTTACTGATTCAGTCGCCACCTGCTATCGGTACAAATGATTTGCGCCTAATGTATGTTTTAAAATCAATATAGAATGATTTCTTGATTGAAAGTATTTTTATCAAAATCTGACGATTAAATTCAACGCTTTTTATAACATATTCGATACAGCCGTAGCCAGTCTGTTACCCCTGTTTCTTTCATTTATATACTATACTAGCTGACCCGGCAAACGTTGTATTGCAAAACAAAAAAAAATTAGGGATGGGTCACCCTTACCATTTAGGGGTATGAAAAATAGATGTTGGCCGATTCTCAGACCTACCCGATGTGCACACAAAATTTCATGAGAATCGGTCAAGCCGTTTCGGCGGAGTACGGGAACGAACATTGTGACACGAGAATTTTATATGAAAGATAATATTTACAGGCCATTTTTATAAAGGTGTTTACGGCTTCTACATATATTACAAAGAAAGTTTAATAGTATATAATACTTACTAGTTTTAGAGCGGGGCTCCCGAGGTCCATCAACGGTGACTTTGATTGCTTTTTGGTAAGTTGTCACTTGAGGTGGAGTCGTCGATACCGTGATTGTCAAGGAAAAACTCTTCCCTGAAACAATACATCTTTAATTAGACATAGAATACGAACCACCAATGAGTCAACAATTAGGGTAATATATATTAGTAGTAAAATATTTTTGTGCGTATACTATCCTGCCTATAAATTATTGATGATGAAAAAGCTTTAAACAGTCATTGTTTTAATGAATAATAGCAGCATGCTATGAGATTTTATGTGTTCAAAAATTTTTTTTTATTGTTTTTTAGATCTCGTATTCCTTCAAGAATTCCTTTGGACAAGATACCTCGGATAGAAGCTACAGATTCTCAATTCTACTTTGCTTAATAGATGCAATCTCTCTTTATCTAGCAGCAGGACCACTTTTTCTGTCCTATCAGTTTATTTAATAATCATGAAAATAACAACAACATTAAAACGGACATAGTCATTCATGGAAATTATTGCCTCTTTTTTATTTCATTGGTTACATAGAAAGTATTGCTAGTAAATTGACTGTAAATTAAGCGTTTGTAATAAAAAATTTTTGTTTTGTTTGTGTTATGCACGTTGCGCTGCAATCGTTATACGTGAACTATTTGCACTAAACCTCAAATCAATGAATAATAAATACTGCCATACTATTTAAAATCATATTAAATCTAATAATCATATCAACTTATGAGCCTTTATGTAGTAGATAATCACGTTCGAATGCTATATATGTATGTATGTGTGCGAATGAACCTAACTGCCGAGGACCGCGATGGGTTGAAAATAGCGAGCTTTTTGGGCGTCCGATTTGCGGTCGACAGTAATGAATGCACCGATAAATACCGAATAAAATTACAGTTAAAATGAGTGGATTAACATGTCTAATGCAGATAATTCGTGTGTAGAGCACTACATTTCGAATAAATGACTGATTTCGACATGTTATTGTTACGATTGTTAAACTTCTATAGGATGACATAACTTCACTGGATTTCAAATGTTCTAAGTGGCAAATAAGTATAAGTGGTCATTTTTTTACTAAATAATTCGTTCTTGTCTCTGATGAACAAGAAATTGTGGGCGTGGACGTCTGTTTCGAGTTCAAAAAAAGAAAATATCCAAAAGAAGCAACAGATATAAAGACATTTAAATATGGAAGTATTATTTATTCCTTTGATATTGAATAAAATTATTCTCTATAATTCATTTACATTAAACGATTATTCATTTTTAAATTTATTATTAGACTAATTTATAATATAATATAAATACAGATCAAAATTATATTTAATATAAGCCAATAAGTTTTATTTGGCATCCAAACTACTTATTTTGAACTTTAGTACCAACGCGTAAAACTGTGCCATTACCTACTGATAACGCCTAAACATTCAGTAACTTCCTGTTATTTCAAGTCAAGACATGTACAATAAAAAAACATATTTGTACATCAAACTATATGAAGGATACATTTAAAATCCATTTAAAAGGAAACTAATATATCCACTGTGTGTGTGTAATTTAAACAAAAAGTTTTGAAGCATATGCTTGAAAGACTTTTAGTTTAGATGACACTGACGCTGTCTTAAAGAAAGTGTTATAGTAAAGTTGAACCAAACTATCACAACTAAATTACTACATATAATCATCATCATTATCAACAACCTTTAATAGTCAACTGCTGGACATAGGCCTCTCCTTGGAAAGGAGGATTTGGCCTACTAGTTATTATACTGCATATGAAATGTCTAAATCCCACAAAACCTCAGAAAGAGAAATTGCATACTGGGCCGGGTTTTTTGCCCATTAATTAAATAATCATTTGAATATACTTTCAATATTTTCATAGATTTTTTTTATAGATTTTGAGCAGCGTGTTTTTTAAAGTTCGCACTGACGTCGTGTAGGACTAGTAACTACAAATAATCGTAAATTATTAACTACTATTAGTCGAGTAGTAACTACTAGGGATTGTTTATGCCAACTACTAGGATTAAATAAAGGTCAATTTCAAACCTTCTCCTAGTAGCCTGTTAAGATGCAGAGAAAAGGGAGGCGACGCGTCTCTCCTCGACTCTGATTTATTTTTCGTCATTATATAGCAGCTATAAGTGTAACATTTTGAATTTATTTTTATAGGTTCTTAAAAACCATTTTCGTACACAGATTTTCAGACAAACCTCGATAGTGCAGCATACACACTGGTGCAGCGAGGACGAGCTTAGGAGCTTCAATACGGAAACAAATCATCATAAAAGTTGCCCGCTAAGCTCTAAATGTGTGCCTTGAACGAGGTGAAATATAGCTTCTAAAGTTGCTATTAAAGTTAATGCATTCCTCATGATCACTCATCAACAGTTTAGGACCTAACACAATACGAGTAGAGTCATAAAACATAACATTGTATCCCAACGACCGTCTCCAGAAGGTGTTGAGAGAGGCGCGCGAAATATTCAATTATTGTGCGCGGGCGCAGGTGGGCCGCCAGGGTGCAGGGGAGGGAAATGGCCGCCATCTTGATTTATGATCAAGCGTAAATCCTAAGTGACATTTGTGAGTGAAGACGACTCGCAGCACCGTCACACCTTATGTAGTACATGACTATGACACGATTTTGTTGGAAATATTTTGCGGTTCTTTATACAAGAATTTGTGAATACAGCTGACTCTTAACTAGTTTGGTTTTGGACCAGCAATGGATTGCAAACAATATTTTTCGTCGCTATGGTGATTGTATCCGATCATGAGTTCTCAATATTGTATGGAACGCCCAATACGCATAAAATATAAAATGTTATGGACTCGTCGGGCCATGTGAACTGTCATATTGTCAAAGCCTCTCACATCTTTGAGATATTTAGAGGGACAATACAATGTAAGTGCTAGTTACTTAAAGTATATTATTTTACTATTTCATATCATTTTCAGGTAAAATTAGTTACTCAACTATTCCTCTCTATTTCTATACAATCAGGAGTGGTTGTATAGAAATAGAGAGAAAAAGTTAGCAGTAGACATAACGCTTTTTTAGAAGGTTCAATTCATATTATTTCTTCTTTTAATATTATTGTTAATAAAATATTTATTTGGGTAAAATAAGACTGTTGATTTACGTAAAATAACATAGGACCTTTCGTACAGACAAACAATACTGATGTCGAGGGATAGATTGATTGACAAAACACAAGCACTTACGATACTGCATTAAGCAGATAAAGCTGAAGAACTTAGTATTTACTTGAATACGATCCTATATTAGGAGGATAGGCAGGCACGGAAAAGGCATGTACTATAGGAATAGATATACGGAGAAAACCACTATACAAGAAATGTTTGCCAGCGTACAAATAAAAATAAAACATGTATTTGATATAGTAAACAAACCGTACTTTCCTTTACTTTATCTCAATAACAAAAAATCCACCAATTCGTAAATCTAATCAAAATGTTAGTCTCATAATATTTATAATGCACACCATTTCCTATCCTAAGAAGGAAAGGCAATAGGCCTTTCCTTGCTGCTAAAGTGTGTATGTCTACATATCTGTCTGTTACCTTTTTACCCTTAAACCACTAAACCGATTTGAATGAAATTTGGTATGAAGATAGTTTGATTTTTGAGGAAGGACATAGGCTTCTCTTACCGCGATAACTGATATATACAAAGCTAGTTTTGTATCAAAGCAAAATATAATTCAATAATAACTTCTCACATCTCACACACGACAGTCTGATTCCAAACTAGGCAGATCTTGTACTATGATAACCAGACTACCGCTTAAAATACTTAAATATATCTAAATGCATACATATTATGGATAAATTACACCGAGACACAGAACAAATGTTTATGCTCATCTCACTATCATTTGATGAGAGAGAGAAAATGGGGTGGGTGAATATCAAACTCACGACCTCCTTCTTAGCAGTTAGGGCCACTAACTACTAGACTAACAGGCAAGTCAGTAGTCGGCAAGTATTATGTACAAGTATTTTATATACACTTAAATGTTGGGGCACTTACGTTTTTGACTCCTGTATACAACAAATTACGACTCAAACATTCTCTTCAATCTTTGAATTCAAAACGTACATTTGACTGGAGATATAACCGTGATACTGTGATGACCATACAAAATGATTTGGTCACACTCTGGTCACGGCGTTTACGTGCGTCGGTCACTCGGCTCGCTCCTAATTATGTGTTCAATTTAATGACAAGTACTCTCTCTTTCGACATAACGCATTACGATCAAATTACTGATGTTGAAATATCAAAAATATTTCAAATAATTAGTTGATAGTAATTGGATTTACTTGAATAATTATCATTACTTCATTAGTTGAAAATAAGATTTTAAAATGCTATAACGATTGTGAAAAATCACTTTTTTTTGTTCAAGTAATGCCCAAGACGCTTAATGACTGCCCAAAACCAGGATAGTTCTTGAGGGAGGCCTTTGTTCAGCATTTCACAACGATAGGCTCATGGTAAGACTAATAGATTACTAAGGTAATTTGAGTAAATGCTAAATTGTCTAGCGGTATTGTAGTACATCCACCCTGCGATATGAATATCGTACTAGTATGTGGGGAGGTTTACTTCTTTAATTTGACTCCATCCATCTAAAATATAAAGTAATTATGTAAGTATATGTGAAGGTTCTATACCCTAATATATTAGGTATTTCGGACTGTGACATTTGTGATCGACTGTAAACACACCTCTTTCCTGGGAAGAATTCTCTTGACAAGTTAAGTATAAGTTAAAAAATAATAATTATGCCTTCCTTTTATGCAAACTAAATACTTTTTTGGAATATTGAAATCAACCCAGAAGGTTAATAGTGAAAGCTTGTTTGAAGGTAGCGCTTTGATAAGGGAAACCATGTAAGTTGTTAATTTGTGATCCGCTGTAAACACACCTCTTATTAAACATGGTAACTACCAGCTCATCGACAAAGGAGCGCAACCGTAAGATTGTTATCTTACTCCAGGCGATTTCAGTTTTACAACTTGGTACCATACCTTAGACTTTTTAAAGTTCAAGAACTTGT